CAAACTTAAAACATGAAATTGACATATTAATACTCACAGAATGTAGACTCGACAACAGTAAAAATATACCTCAATTAAATAATTACACATCACATGCTACAGCGAATCATCTTAATCAAAATGATGGGGTAGTAATATTTGTAAAAAGTAATCTTAATCCTAAAATAAAAGAAATTAAACTTGATCAAGCGTCATGTTTACAGATAGAAATATTTAACCATATCGTACTAGGTGTGTATAGGTCTCCCTCTAATGCTAATACTGATAGATTTACCGAATCACTTAGAAACCACCTAGATACAATCAAAACTTGTAATAATATAGTACTAACTGGAGATATAAACATAAATCTTATCCAGAAACATAATGAAACGTCATTGGATCATAAAAATAGGCATAACTATTTAAATATGCTATCCACGTTTGGGTTATTACCAGGACATATGATGCCAACCAGAGAAAATAGCTGCTTAGACCACTTCATGTTAAAACTGCATAAGAAAATGACTATTGCTAACATAGCTGTATTGAACACAACCATAACAGACCATCTTATGGTATTATGTACTTTGGCTAAAATAAAAGTCACTAAAGAAGTTATTAGGAAGAAAACCTACATAGACTTTGACAAGGCTCTTATTACTCTCGCTAATAAAAACATATCTTCTTTACTACTCTGTGATGACCCAAACATCTTACTTGAGATGCTAACCACTAAAATCACTGAATCTTTACAAGAAAATACACTTACTATGACCTTACCTAAAAATCAACGAACAATTAAACCTTGGATAACTCAAGGAGTCTTAAGGTGTTTACGAAACAGAAATAAAATACAAAAACAATTAAAATGTAATCCTGATGATGAAATACTTAAAATAATATATAAAAGATATCGTAATTTCTGTAATAATTTAATAAAGAAATTGAAACGGGTGTATGATAGGAAACTATTACTTGCTAAAAATCCTAGTGCTATGGAACAATATTAAAAATTTAACCAATTTAAAACATACTAAAACAACAAATATTGAGTTACTAGACATTGAGTCGTGCCCTGTCAAAGCCATTAACTTAGTAAATAGTTTTTTTGCTAACATTGGACCAAATCTTGCTAAGGAAATTAAAACTAATAACCAATTGTTACAGCACAGTGCACCAATTCTTAATCCTAATTATCAATTGTCATCCTTTGTTATTTTAAATACCGATCACGAAGAGGTTAATTCTATCCTCATGAATTTAAAATCAGATAGTGCGGCTGGTTTTGACAATTTCCCTACAAAATTCTTAAAACGCTCAAAAGAGTTAATAGTCCCTATTCTCACTTATTTAGGAAATCTATGCTTTACGAAAGGTGTGTTCCCTTCGCTGATGAAGCAATCAATTATTACTCCTGTACATAAGAATGGGGATAGAACTCAAATCAATAATTACAGGCCAATTTCAGTCTTAACGGGTATCTCTAAAATAATGGAAAAACTAATTAATAACAGAATAATTCAATACCTAAATAAATTTAATATTTTGTCAGCATCGCAATATGGTTTTAGACAAGGAAAATGTACGCAAGATGCCATTCTAGATTTAACCTCGTGTATTGTCGATCATCTTGATATTAAAAATAAATGTCTGACTGTCTTTCTGAACCTAAAAAAGGCATTCGACACTGTATCTATCCCCATCCTTATAAAAAAATTAGAAAATATTGGTATTAGAGAAAATCAGCTTAACCTAATGAAGGATTATCTAAATGATCGGAATCAGCGAGTGAAAATAGGAGACTATACAAGCAATGACCTCAAAATGACCTTCGGTGTTCCACAAGGTAGTGTCTTAGGACCTATACATAAATAATATACTATATATAAATGACCTATGTAACTTAGAAATAGAAAATGGGCATATTTATTCATATGCAGATGACACTGCTATAGTTTTTCATGGCAAAACATGGGAAGAAGTTCATAGTATCTCCTCTAAACATCTAAACATCCACTCCAACATTTTATTTTTATTTTATTTTTATTTCTCTTTTTTTCTATTATTTATAAGTTGTTGGTTAATATAAAAAACTCTATTGAGTTGTATAATTTTAAGAAATTTTCTACGGAAGAGCGGGACATCCTGGCACAGGTATCTATTTACTTAAAAGGATGTCTCAATAACGGACTTAACGTATTTAAAAACTCTTTTTATTAATAAAAAAAAAAATCTCCCGCGATAACAAGTAGCCTCTGTCACTTTTCAGCCCTCTAATTATCTTCACACAAAAAAAATATCTTGCACTTTATTTCGACGTAAAAGAAGGACAAACAAGCAAATAAAGTCAACGTCAAATTGTCCCTGTTTTCCAATTACAGCACTGAAACGCATTATGCAGTGTTCGAGATAGGGAACAAACTTTAAATAAAAAAATATGTAGGTTTAATGGTATAATTACAATGAGTACTTTAGGCAAATAAATTAGCTTAGGACACGACGCGCGTTCGATGCCGTGACAGGTAGTAATGTGTTGGCATCATTAGCGTAGGTTGAGAACGTGGCGCGCTTATATCGTGATTTTCCGATTCTGTCATTGGCTTGTTATCGCGTCATGCCGCGCGTGGTACCAATAGCGTTGGCTGCGGGTAGCCAATAGCGTGAGGGCTGCGGCTGTGCTCCGTTTCTCGGTGCCGATGTGGCGCCGACATGCAGCATAATGCTAACTTCGTATGTTTCAACTACAGAAATGTATAGATACATTTTACTCATTGTTTCTGTTATTTTTTAATTAGATGTATAAATATTATTTTTGTTTTCGTTGTTTATTTTTCCCTTTCTTGTCTTCTGTTTCTTATTTGTGTTTGTTATATGTGAAAACATGATTGGTTTATGTAATGTTATTATGTATTTAATACTTATTTAAAGAAATAAATAAAATAAATAAAATTAGTGAAAATTAGTACGTATATGTCAACGTTTTTTTATCCTATTGATATGTAGACGGTTAGTTCTGTAAAGTAATTTATTAGAATTCCTAACAAAATTTATTATAAGCTCGTAAACCAATTAAAACATGTCCACGATAGGTTAAGGGGGCACCGAGGTAATTACGAAATAATTGCATTCGTTTGATTCCTTGCTGTATTGTTATTACTAAAACTTTAATTATGGAATTAATATGTAGGATATAAAAACGTTTACTTGTAGTTTCCTCGACAGGAAACAAACCAAAATGATATCTAAAAACCTTAAGAGATAGATCCAAACATTGTACAAGAAAATTGTAAGTCTTAAGAAAAGTTCTCAATAGTATATATCTATCTCCTAAGGTACTCTCGATATAAGTTATGTTAGTTGAAGGACAATGTATATATTTGAATTTTATTGTTATAAGAATTATTAATGTTCAAATAAATTATAATACATCATTTTTTTTTTTATTTTTACTCTTTGCGCCTAAGTAAAAACATTAATGAAGAATAATATGAATATACACATCATAACAACACCTGTAAGAAAAAAAATACCATTTCTTAAATTTTACAAAAATAAAAATATTTTTATTGCACCTTCTAAATGGTAATAGTCGAGCATTAGCAAAAGAAAGTGCGTGACCGGTGGAGGAGGAAGGGTGGAGGGGTGTAGAAAGCGTCCCTTACTCATTTAAACTTGGCCAAAAAAAAATTTTTTTGTATAAAAATAAAAATTTAAAAAATATTATTTTTTCTTGTTACAGGTGTTGTTGTTATGACGTAAATAGTATATTCCCAAAAGGTTTTCAGTAAATTAAAAATGACCCTGTATGCTACGTAGTCATACCTATACAGAAAGTTTCCCACTTTAAAATAGAGATGGCGCTTTTTAAGCATTACCAGTTTCGACGGCTAAGTTGTACCTCTATTTTTATATGTAGCATTATACTCTTTTAAAAACTCATCTCAATTCTCATCTAGTCTCAGTAGTGACATCTATTTCGTTCAATTGTAGTTTTATAAGTTTTACCCTGCTATCTCCATTATAAAGTGGACAACTTCAATATTTAAGTTTCCAAATTATTAGTACAAAAATGAATGCCCCTGGTCTAACGGAGAAGAATAACAAGTTCATACGAAAAAAGGAAAACGCTTCTCACTAGCGTCATCTATCGTCGGCCCACGAAACCTTAAGGTGCTAAGCGCGATGGCGGGTGATTTAAAATTATTACGGGAATGTAGGTATGGTACTACCTATTAAAAATGTAATAATTTTATTTTGAAACAGGCATTTTACTACTCATAAGGGAACTCAAATAGTCATAAGTTTTCTTATTGTTAGTAATAAAAATGCCTGCCTTGAACAATCTCTTCTTCTTCTTCCTGCCCATTTCCAAAGTTACTTTGGGTCGGCGCAGTAAGTCACTGCTTATTCGTTTTGGCAAAAGTTTTCCGACCGGCCGTCTGCATGACGTTAACCCTTTTTAAGAATGCGTTTGTTCGCCCGCCATGAATCCAGCTCTTGTATTAGAACTTATGCGGAAGTTCCCATAATGTTTACACATAGCACAGCCATTTTGATCTCTTGAAGACGAGGAGGACCATTTACCACTTTTTTCACAATTGAGAATTTTTTTTGTTGAAAGTTTTATGCTGGTTTTCTTATATATATTTTTTATATAAATAAATTTTGAAAATTTTATTGCTTTGATATATTGACATAATAATGTATAGCCTGTGCGGAAAGAGAACCGTCATAAGATTTGAGGGCGCAGCTTTTTTTAATTACCGTATTTGTTATGGTGACAACACAATAGTGCGACTGTAACATCTTGATACTTTAAAACTATGTTAGATTATAATGTTTTCAGATTTATAAATATGTAAAGATTTGAAAACGTCGCAAATAATATTTAAGATATTTCTGAATGGATGTCATGTGCATTTTAAATCTTTTTTAAGGAGTGTTAATCCAGCAAGCTATACAAAACATACAAAAGTATGAGGTTAGTGATGTATTGGGTCGCGTCATCTATCTCATCAGGTGTTTTCAAGGAGACTTTTATATCGATATTTCATAGTTGAAAAGAACTTTTTCATTTCCTCAAAACATTTGAGATGTGGACAACACATGAATATAAGATTTGCGGTGACAGTAGCATTCGCAGTGAGTTCTCCTGTAATTAAAAAATACATCAATTAATATACAATATTGCAGTGATTATATTGTTTTAGTAGTTTGTTTAAATCATTAAACAAAGTCGAATCTTTAAACAATTTCTGATTGAAATGCAATGAAAGGTGATCCTGTGCGAATCAAGAGAAGCTTAAAAAGATTTATTGAAATCCAACTGGTAGTTTCAGATATTACCCCCTACATACAAACTTACAAACAAACAAACAAATTTTACTTACCTCTTTATAATATTAGTATAGATGTATTATTATAGTATAGATTTATCATTACATACCTGCAAATATTTTTGCATACATTCCTCCCGAAACAGTATGACTTAACACCTGTGCAGCTAATTTTACTTTAATTTTCTGCTTGATATTGGGATTAAGGTGATCTTTTTCCAAAGCAGGAGCTAAAACAAAATTCGGATTGGTGTTGTTTGCTAATTTAAAATGTCAAATATTCACATAAATCTAAGAAAAAAAAAACTTTGGAATGTTTTCAGTTACATCACATGGGACAGCAGTTCTGAGTAGCTTCTTCTTAGAATCATCAGTAAAATTTGCATCATTGAAATGTTTCTGACTCAGCATCTGTGTTCATAGTGTAATTCATTTGTAATGAGAATGAAGATTCTCTGTTTTTCGGAAAAATGTATTTTTGCCCATAATTCACAGCTGAAAATAAAAATAATGGGAATTAATATGTTATCAACAATAACAACAACAAAAGGTACAAAATGATGGAAAGTATATTATGTATATAAAAATCTGAAAATAGGTACATATTTTTATAAACTTTCTTCCATTAATTGTTTCAATTGACTGGAAGAAATTGTTTATAGTGATGATAATCACTAGTGGTAGCATATATTTCAAACTAAATAATACATTGTAATCTATTTTTGATGTATAAGTTCAATGATATTACCTACCGAACTGGGATCCTTATAGCAGGTTTAGGAAATTGACACAATTTATTGTTTTTCTCGCTTGGTGAGCATCCACACTTGAAACATTTCCTTTTATTTTCTTTATCCGCTATTTTATAGTCCTATCTCTAACAGCAGATACTGATACACAGAAATCAGAATAGTCACTTTCTCAAAAGCAAGACAATCACTGCACTTTTTAACACTCTAACCGGGGAACAGAAGCTCAACTAGACGTTTTATAGGAGAAATTAAAAATGCAAAGACGCATTAATATCAATTATCAACATTCAACACCACGCACGAATGACATGACATGACATGACATGACATGACATGACATGACATCAATGGCGTTCTAAGCCAGGTATAGTAGGTAGAGTAGGTGAATAGTGAACTCCTAGGAGTAGGACGATGTATCACAACATCGTCCTAGGTGAACTCTGTATTAAATTATGGAGGGTAGAAGTAAGGAGGACCATCTCAATAAAAAGTGTCCATCGAAATGGAGCAAATTAAGGTGGTGCTATAGTAGCAAGTGAAAGAATTTTAAAAGGAGCGCCACAAATTATTAGAATAGGATACTAAATTAAAAAAGGAAAGAAAAATTTGCGCTTTGTTAAAGCGCATTTTTTAATATTATTATATTATACAAACATGAATATAGAATAAAATTATACAGTATCTTTAAGTACCCCAATTATTTGTAAATAGCAAATAGAAAATAGTATTAAATAATAACCGAAATAAAAAAAATATAATTAAAATTGTAACAAGCAAATTTCCATTTCCTACACTAGCGCTATTTTGGTGAGTGTTCGAACAATAATTTGCTGTTTTAATTGGACACTTTTTCAACTAATCTCCCATACAAGACGGTCCTCCTTACTTCTACCCTCCATAATAAATTATTGCCAACTGTGAAGTGTGAACTGTCAGTTCTACTTCAAGTTATCAGTTGTCAATTTTTATGCGCCTAAATGTTTATTGACACCATGGATGACAAATAAATAATAAAAAAATACAATAGAATTTTATGTTATAGGTAATTCTTCAATTAAAAATATATTGAGTGTAATGTTAATAGTTACAACTATGTATATATACTACAACTTGCTATCTACTTACGTCTTGCTATATTTTATTATTATTTTGTGACCTTTATGTATACTATAAACCTAATTAAAAACACTTGTTAATTATTACGCTTCCACTGCGAATTTACCTACAGCTACACTACACTACACTGAGTGACTCCAATAAGATTGATCAGTAAGCAATTTTTCTATTTAATTGTTTTGTTAGTGTAATAAAATTAGTTTAAAATAAACATCTGCAATGCTACTAATTTTCTGTCATAATTTTTATAGATTTTTAATTTGAATTATATTAAGCTCAAAATAATATACTCAAGAAACTTTTACAAGCAAATTATTTAATCATTAATGCACAGCAAAGAAAGTGGAATAAAAACGAAAGTGAAAATATATTGTGCACTTTTTATTTGTTACAGTTGAAACTTGAAAGTGATTATGTACAAGAGCTATTTTTTTGTCAGAAAGAAAAAGCAGTGAACTATCTAATAGTAATGATAAAAAGAAGATTTCATCTCCTGCAGGTGAATGAAACACATTATTTCTAAGAAATATGATAAGCAAGGAAAATGGTAAAGAAGATTTCGTAACAGAAAGATAATAATCTTTAATAGTTAGTAAAGACTTTATCACCTCTAGGTAAATTTTTAAGAAATTAATTGAAATTCTAAGAAATTTATTGTTAACTGACATGCTGGCATGTCCGCGGTGATTGATGGATTAAGGAAATGAAATGAAAGTAGAAAGTTATAATATTTTCTATTGGAAAGATTGGACTAGTATTGATGTATTTTAAAAATATTTACAGTAAATAAAGACATATTTGGATTACAAAAATCTATTTTAGTGTCAAAGAGAATTCCTCAAGTCCTAAACTAATTTTGACTAATAAAATTACTATTTATTTAATCTTTATATAACTTGTTTTACAAAAGTATAATAAATATTTCATTGTTACTGTTATTGGACTGGAGCTATAATTTGAACCAAATTCTTTGAGCTATATTTGTTTTCGTTAGTAGGTGATATAGTGGTGCTAATCAGAAAAATATCTGTTTTGTATATCCATACTAATATTATAAATGTGAAAGTATGTTTGTTTGTCCTTTCACGCGAATGAAGCCGCAGGTTCTGCTAATATTAATATATAAAACACATTTCAATTTCTTCATTTGTAGTAATATAATCTCGTATATCTCAAAATATTAAAAATGCCATCTATGAATACAAAGTACACACTTACTATTTAATGTCTGATTTTCTATTAACCAATAAAATTACGAAATATTAAAACTAGAACATACCTTTTTTAAGAACTATTTTTCGTATTATATTATTATATATAATATATTTATTAATAATTTTACACATCATTTTTGGATAATATATAACACCATGTATTAACATACAATTGAATTTATAATTTTTCTTTGTAACTGCTGTCTTAATTCCGAAAACAATCATTAGGGAAATGATATAACTGGCATTAGACATAATATTAATTCATTTGAAATTGTTAATTTTCAGGACCATCATGTTCAGCTAACATGTGTCCAACATAACGTTGTGCGGCAGAAGTGTCTTGAATACAGGATACCTTCCTCAGTTTTATAATAGTCTTAATCAAAGTTAATTCTTATAATTTAATAGGTAATGTACAACTTGTAAAAGTACATCACTGCACTTAGTAATTAGTTATTACACCTGTTAGATTTATGTCTGCTTCTGGAGGAAACTAATTTGTCATGAAAATATAGTTTTTGTATTTATTACTTTCAATTTTTTAAAATTATTATAGATATAAGTATAATTTACGTGTCTGTAGATACTAAGGTAAATTAAAAATGTTAAGATTTACAGGAATAAATTGTGTAGTATGATATTAATAAAAGTATATAGATTTTTCTTTAAGTACATAACTTGGCTATTACAAATAATTATAACTTTGTTTTACATATTATATGTTACTAGAAAGTTTGAGTACTTTTGCATTAGCTGTTTCTAGATTATATTATAATATGGAAATATTTTTAGATCTATTAACAGCAATACAGAATACTTATTTCGTGAGTGTTATTTGTTGTAAGTTTATATCAAAAATTATCATTTTCTCTAAATGTACTAATAATTGTATAAAGCTATCTATATAATTAAATAATATATTATATGTATGTTTCTGCGAGAAAACAGTATTAATTAGAAATAAGCAATTATTATTTTATACCAATAAATCATTCAAACCGCTGGTCTTTCATTACACTTGTGGACTGTCAAATGTCAAAGTAAATATTGACACTGACATTCAAAGTCGACTCTAGAGAGTTTTGTCTATGGAAAATTGTCTCTATTGAGATAGGTTATAAGAAATGTTTAAAATGTGGTTTTCTATCTAATGATATACGCACTCACTCGTACCTACTCAATCGGTACATATATTGTTCAAGTGAACGTAAAGTATTGGGTAGAACACATAGGTACGACAAGTTATTTTAATGATTTTATTACTCTGATACCGATGATGATAATGAAGTGTGAAAGAATGATACATTGTTATATTGACAGTAATTTATATACACAACAGAAAATCGTACGTCCCGCCCGAACGTCAATCAATATCTCTTTTTCATACTTTTCCTGCCTGTCTGACGCTTGCGTAGACGAACATCACAGAGGTTGTATGAAGGCGTACTTGATGACTTCGAATAAACTAGCGGCGCGTAACAGAAGTAATAATTCATAATCATTACCGATATATTACATCAAACTTGGCAAGGAAACGAATGATTCTTACGGCGGTGGCCGGGATAAATAAATGTTATTTGTCTATTTAATTTTTTTATAGCCATATGTATCAACTCATTTCTGTCAGGAGCGTAGTTCCTCACTCTATTAAAATAAAGAGTACAATAAGATACGAAATAAAAATAATAATTACAATAACAAATATTGATGTTCTCCTGACCGATTCCGGCCACGATTGCCAATCTAATTGAGACTAGCCAACTGCGCAGGAGATATTATAATGCACAAGTGTACGCGCAGACAAAACGTGCACTCTATTCCTGTCAATCTCATACTCCGGTTGGACGAATGCTCGACACGACCAGTGAGAGTTAAAGCGCAGGACCGACGGCATTACGTGCTCTCCGAGGCACGGGGGTGAAACACCGCCAGCTTCCCAACTCCAGGCTGTTACTGAGACTTACTATACAGAAAAACTCGATAACTAAACTTGGCCCGACCCGGGACTCGAACCCAGGACCTCCAGGTGTGCAGCCGTACATACTAGTCACTACACCACCGAGGCAGTAAGATAACAAATAATAAGTATAAGTTGATCTAAAGCAATTAAAAATATTCTGTATTCTACGAGTACAGAAGACACTACTATTTTAAAACCTAATAAAAATTTGAACAGAATGTCGTACTTTGAAATTTAAAGATATTCTTATTTTTTTAAAGTTCTAGTTCAGTTTCCATTCACGATAATTCATTTCAAATGATCTATAATAATATGATTCAAAGACAAAGTAACGTCAAAATATTGTGTTCATATTTTATCTGTGGAAATTGGTTCTGTTTACATAGTCAATGTTGATATAACTTAAGTCAACTGTCAAAAAACACCCATCTGTTGAATTGCATTAATAAGTCAACTTCTGCCCTGTTCTACGCCTTATTAATTATTTTGATGTATTTAATTGTATAAAACTATTCCTATTCCGCTGTAACTTGCACAAAGTGTAGGTAAAAGAACAAGGATAGTATATTTCTATAAATTATATTAGTAAAAACCAACGAAAATCGGTAAAATACAGTAACGTAATCAGCGCAAGTGAGGGACACTTTTTGGTGTTAAATGCATCCTTATACTATTATTAATTAATTAACATGCATTAAAAAGTTTATATTTCTAAGTAGAAATACGATTTTTTGGTACAGTTAAGATCTGTGGCACATTTTTAAACGTACATCATTATTGTTGTCCTAAAGTTATTCAATTCAATTCTTTAGGTTTGTGGCTTCTAGGAGTGCCTATCCTTAAATTATACTATTTAGTTAGTAATAGTCTATATAGTTATTATGCAGGAATAATATTAGAATTAAATAATGTCTCTATATCTTTAGTTTTAGGTATGAAGCGAAGCATTTCTCCTGATATAATGGACCCGAAAGAAATTAGTCACACTGTTATAGCCTACGAGGTCCAATATTAAAAGAAGATAAGAATACGTTTCAGGGTCCAAAAATCTAAGCCTGAATATTGTGCTAGTCACGTAAATGATGATAGGAGAAATTAATACTATGCTCAATTACTAATTGAAGAGCTAAAATATATTGAACCATGAGAACAAGATATTAAATCAAAATACTAAATTTTTTGCACGTCTGTATGTTTGTCCGCGTATTTCTCAGAAACTATAAATTGGATTTCTTCACATTTCTTTACATTCTTTTTCATTAGATTAAGCGTCTTTCAACTTAGTGAATAGTGTAAATTTAATCAAAAATGGTTCAGTAATTTTTATGATATAGACTAAAACGTGTAAGGGCCTGACTATTTATACAAGCTACAGGTATGATGTCAAAGGTAAAACATCTCCTCAAATCTTTGTTCAGAGGTGTTAACATTGGCTGTAGGTATATTATTTTATATTTTTTGTTTTTTTTTATGTTCAATTTCAAATTCGGATGTGGTCGTATCCATACTTTGTGAGCCATTTTGTAACGAAATTGTTTTGATTGTCGATTTTAGAAATATTATACTAAAGCAAGATGTCTTTTTATTGAGTGTATCAATTTCTAAATATCATTAATTTGCAGAATGTTAATTTGTATAAACTCTGTGATTAGTATGTGAACTAAACTATAGTATAAGTAAATAATTTAAGCCACTTGACCAACAGTGTTGTCAGAATTAAAGTGTAGACAGACCCTATTTTTAGCCCGGGTGCTCGGGTCGCCTAAATGACGAAAGTTTTTGTAAGGTTTGTGTGATGAAAAAAAAGTATGTGAAGGTGTTCTTTTTATTGATAACTGTAAAATAATGTAATTATTTGTGTAAATAAAACAAATACTTTTTGAAGTAATGTTTTTATCTTTTAAGTATAATTACTTTTGTACAATAAACGGGGAAATATTGAATCTTATTACATTGCAAGACTAAATTGGGTTAAACAATTGTTAATGTATTAGCTCATTTCATAACGATTGCAACGACATAAGTTACTTCTATAGCTCCCGTACAAAACTTTAGAGATGTCGTCATTTTAAGCAAACGCGCCGATATTTCGCGAAGTCAATTCGATATTGTTCGATATTGTTGACCTGATCTGATG